GTAGCCAATTTAGATGTTTCTTGTAAGTCCTTATATCAGTAGTTCTTTATCAGTAGAAAATTCAGATATTCCTTACAATAACTACTGTTTGACTTCATGTTTTTTAACCACAGCTGTCACTTTTTGTAGTTGGCTTGTTCCTTAAAATTTGCATAAATCATTAAGTGGTATTGTGCTATAGAAAAGCATCTTCTACTTGGTAAAAGAAATGAAACAACATTCATTTAAGAAATTGCACCAGACCTTTAGAGAGATTTAATAAAGCTATTCATTACATTATGTAGCATTAGAAAAGGGCAACCCCCCTACTTATGGTATGAATAAAAGAAGGCGATATTAGCCCATACTTCCTCTTAATTTTTTGAATTTTTTGTCAAAAAAAAGGAAATTCTGGGAACATGATATCTGCACCTGATATCTTGAAGAAAGCCTCTCTGAAGAAATGAACGAAAAAAGTGTCGTGAGGGTCATGTAGGTAAATTCAAGTTATTTTTGTAGTGTCATTTTTGTAATAAAAATGGAGATTATAAGGGAAAAACATGGAGTTCATGCAGTGAACAGTTTATCTCTGTGCTTCCTGGGTTTATTAAGGAAAATATGTGTATAAAGATGCTTGACAGAAAATTCTTGTTTGTCACTGTATGTTCTCATTTACAAATTGCAGTGTTTCAGGGGTCTCATATTTATCTGTGAGACATGTATGCTAACTGAAGATTTGCAGAAGTCGTTTGCACATCTAGTTATTTTTTTGCCTTAGTAGATGCTTTATAACAGCTACCTTGAGTATTAGAAATTCAATACTGTCGTATGTGCTGCAGTATCTAGTCCTTGGTTGCATTACAACCAACAGCTAAATCAAATAAGATTGCAGTACATGATGTTAGTAAATGTAGATGTGGATGTCTCTCTGTCTGTGTCATATTTATATGTATATTAAGGATGTGTGTCTGTTAAACCAGTATCCTTGTCCAACTTCAAGTGGAGGTGGTTAAATATAGTGGAATCACAATGGTGGAAAAGATGCTTTGATGTTTGAAAAAGAGTAGGATAATAAAGGAGGAGAAAAGGACCCTCAAATTCGGGGTACCCTCCATGAGAGAGTTGGATCTTGTTTTACATTTAATCCTATTCAGTTCTACCTCTGCTCTCATATAAACCAAGAGTGATGTTCCTGGTTGTGTGGTTGGGGAATTTAAGCATTTTTAACTGCCTAGAAAATATCATAGGTGAGTGGGAAAAAAGAAAAAACAGTATCATCTGTGCAAATTGCACAGATACTAAGTTCAGAGATAAAAAAACTATCAAATGTGTTTTCGCTTTGTGACCAACTTAGGTGTTGGTCACAAAGTCGCTAATTTCCATTTTGCACTATGATGATAACTTACTAATAATGTCAGAGGATTATATTTTGATGTAAACTCACATAGTTATGATGTCTTAATTAAATGTTTGGAAACAAAAGCAGCTGTTGAGCTAAGTACAGTTTTTGTAACTTGATTTTTTTCCCATGAGATTCACACAGAAATAGATTTTTAGAAGTCCAAAGGCTATCCTTGTATTCAAATAATTGTACCAGTATAGCATGTTAGCGTGAAGTTCCAACACATTTTTGTCTGGTGATTTTATTTTAGCCATATAGTTTTTACTTCTTAGTCATGAATTTAGTCTCTGTGAAGGCCAGGAGGTGGAAACCCTCTATTATTCCAGCACTACACAGGACGCTGTGCTACTGTATCAGGAAATCTCAAGTAACAGTTTTATGATGCATGAGGTTATTATTTTCTGCAAGCAATAACATACATTTCTATTTCTCCAGCAATATCCACATAATCAAACATTCGCAAGTACTTTACAAAGAATTTAATTAAATAGTGTACAGAGTGACTGGATGCAGCACATACACAAACTTATATATTTAGTAGTTCCCCTTTTGCAGTCAGTGCAGAACACTTTTGCACAGTGATATGTGTGAGTGATATTTCCATCAAAATGTGTATCACCCCTCCTTTTCTACCTTACTCCTTAAAAATGACACTGAAACCTTAACAGATGTCGCCTCCAGGAGCACAGGATACCTTCCTCAGGGCTCTAATGGTGCGATAAAGAGAGGGAAATACAAATTCTCATGTTGAGACTTGAACATCAAACATTGTTCCTCTGAAATCAAACATTTATTCCTCCCCAGAGAAAGATATAGATTATTGTGTCTTTTACCACAAAACCAAACGCGTTTGGAATTTTATTTAAAGGTAGTAGAAGTTTTTGGAGCAATCAAAGACCAACCAATGAAAAACTAACATCAAGACTTGCATACTCAGGTTAGATGTGGACAATCAGAAGTGAAAGATTTTATGACAATGACTATGTTCAGGGTCCATTCTGTCAGTCACTGGAATATTAAGTCTCTTCTTTGGCATTAAAGTGCAGTGTATCAGTCCCTGCACTAAGAAAAGGTAGTGTGCTCATATTCATTCAACATTATTGGTATGGTCATGTCACCTGCAGGGCTTAACATTCTGGAAACTGACTGGGTTATCTGTTTTGTTTACTTTGTTCAGAAAAGCCCTTTAAGCATTAGCCAGTGCGTGAGAGGAGTTTTCAGGCTTGCAGAGCAATGAGGCTGTGTTGGATGAAAGTGATTTAGAATATCTCTCTGTGGTTGCCTACCTGCAAGGCAGTTATCTGTCTGTCAAATTGGAAGGTTTTATTAGTATGTCAGTGCTATAAAGTATCAGTCTAAACCAGCAAACCAATACCAATGACACAAATGGTGAAAGACAGTCTATAATTAGCTGTAAAGGTTTAGTGTGAGACCTCACCCTTGTTTCCCAGTTCCTGAGAGTTATTCCAGTTTATAACTGTCTGACACTGACAAAATCAGTGTCAGATACATTATGACTGGCAAGAAAGACCAAAAACTACAAATGGACCCAAAGGAGAGAAAATAAAAGGATCAGTAAAGAGTAGGAAACTGGTTTTACTTTTGTGCTAGTTTTTGTTCTGTGTCTCTTTGCTAATTTGAGGGGAATTGCTGAAAACTTAATTGGGGTAAATAAGAACAGAGTCTCTCTGTATTCATCCTCTGAAGACACCTTTTGAAGGGTGGTTTAGTTGCTGTAGGAGAAATTATAGAGATATGACTTTCTTTACAGAGTTGAGAATGGGAGAGATTCCTATTTAATGTCAATGAAGATTTGCTGTTAACTTCAGTGATTTCACCCAGTAGCCTTTGTGTCCCTTTTTTTCCCCATCTTTATACCTTCAGACACGAGTTTTTCATTTTGCATGTCATTTATAACAAATTGCAGTTACTCTAAAAAATTAGTACAGTTCGAGCTTCAACTGAAAAAGAAGAGGAAAGCATGTCATTTTGAATTTGCTTGCATATCTAATCTTGAACAGCATGTTTTGGATTTTTGCTTTAATTTCTTTAATTATGCTTTTGTTCTAGTGTCTGCTTTTCTATAAAATACTTATTCTTTAGCATTTGTAGCATGTCTCTGTGATTTGGATATTTTTACTTTGCTTGTATTTGGAAGTATCTGCTAGACTCTCCTTTGCTTGTGCTAGGAGGCTGGTATTTTTGTGCTTCTTGCATCAGGCCCTTTTTGGGAATGCCAGAAGACACCCAAATTCTCCATTCCTGATATTTTAGTGGCAACTTCCTGTGAATCCTGGAGTAGAGCTCCTGCAGTCTGTTTGTTCTCCAAGCCAATTCTACCACACTTCAGCAAGCCAAAACAGACAACCTTAGGAGATATGTCAGTGCTGTGATATAATTTAGAGTATTATTTAGAATAAGTAGGTCAGATTTTTTCTTGTTCTGGTTAGGAAGTCAGCCCAGAGATCTTTCATCCCACCCAGTGAACTACCACTTGCATGTATACTACATGTGATAACTGCCAATGAACTGGCTTTGGAACCAGAAGTAACAGAACCAAATGAGAGAGGAGTGTGGCAGCCAGGCTAATTAATTAAGAAGTCAGGCTAACTAGTTTGACTAGATGTGACATTGTAGATTCCAAAATTCTGTCTGATTTGTACATGGGTTGCACTGGTCTTCTTACAGACATACAAGTTGTTTCTGGACTCTTTCAGATGTTTTTTTGTCATGAAGCAACATTGTGTATTTGTTTATTCCCTAGAAAAATTTACTGTAATTTTGGATTTCTTTCTATAGTGATAGTCAATTTATTTCCTTCTCAATCTTCTGCAGTAAGATTTTTTTAACACATGTATTTTAATATTGTCTTATTCAACTTTATGCCGCTGAGATTCCTTGTTGCTTTTTTTTTACCTGACGAAGGACCTTCCCATTTTCTTCCTAATATTTTGTCACTTACTGAATACAAAACTGAAGTAATGCTCCTGAAGTTGTGTATGGTCCCACTTCCAACCTGTGGGGCTGAGAAGAGGCTGCCAGCAGTCTTGTTCCCAGAGGATGTGTGTTAGCAATAGTGCACACTGAAAGATGCCTTGTTTTGTAAGAACTGATGATCCTGAACAATTTGCCATTTTTCTTGTTATGAAACAGTATTTCTTCAGTGCACTCCTTAATGTCAGGTTACATACAGTTTTATGTGTAAGATTTTCACAAAGAAGTTGCTTTAATGAAAAGATAAAAAATACTTGCTGTAAAAGTCTATGTTAACACATTGATATGGTATAGTAAACATGAGAAGCAGTATCAAACCCAGCAATAAATCAATAAGGTGTTGTAAATAAGCTGGATTCTGTATATAAAGCTTCAATTAGAAGTACTAATAATGTATTACATCAATAACATAGTGCTCATGTGTGAGCAGATATTGGCATAAAATAAAAAAAATGAATATTTTATTAATGTTTCCTAAATAACGTAGCTAGAAAGCTGAAATTAAGGGTTTTTTTAATGTGTGTTATTTATAATGCTTTTAGTGATGACTTATGGTCTTACTTACAATAGTTCTTCAGCATAGTAGATCCCACAAGGAGTTAACATATATTTTTTCTATTTCTAGATCTGTTAGCTGTGCCTAAGCATCCATATGCTGCTATGGAGAACTGGGGACTGAGTGTTTTTGTGGAGCAAAGGATACTGCTAGATCCAAGCATTTCTTCTATATTATACCTACTGGATGTCACCATGGTCATTGTACATGAGCTATGTCATCAGGTATTAAAGGTGTTCACATATTTGATCTTAATGTCGGAAACCATGCATTCCTTTTTAAAACCAAAAATGAATTTATATTGTACGTATGGACAGTTGCAACTTCCATTGTACTGAAATCCAAATAACACAGAGGTCTGTAAGACACATCCCTACAATACAGAAACTGTGAAGACTCAAAATGGGCATAGAGGAGAAAATTAGTAGCAATGAACAACTTCCCTGTCTTCTGTATGATTATATTCTTTATGTTTGTGTCTCTGTGTTTGTTGCTGGTGTGTAGAATAAACATGTTGGTAGGTGTAGAAAGTTATTCATTGTAGAACTACAACAGGTTCATCCTGAATTTCATGTTCATGTCAAAAAAATCTTTTGGCTCAATTTGGTAATCAGCTTCTTCTTCCATCATATATACACATACTTCCATTCTTTTCTTTTTTTAACCCACTCTGTGTTCACTGTTGGTGGATAATCAAGTCTTTATGTGTACAGAAACTGTGTCAATAAGAAAACTTAAAATAATAAAGCCATATTACAATTTATTTTGTGTTTTCCCCATCTTCTTATCTCAAACTGAACACATTACAAGTATTTAGTAATATTGAGTTGAATGCAGATATTATTGAAGAATTTTGCTACAGGGGCAGGCAACGCTTTCTTACACTCATAAGAGGCATAATCATAGCCTTCAGGTTAAAGTGAATGAAATCCTACTGTGTAATCACCATGGCTTACATCTGTGACTTTACACAGTGTTCTTTAAAGGCAATGCAAATTCTTAACACTTTCTGCAAATAAGAATTCCCATGTAAAAGGGAGCCATTGTAATGGAGTTCTGGCAGATGAACCTGGAAATAATAATATTTGGTTCATGTTCATATTAATGTTTCACATTAAATCTGTCAATGAATATGAAGTCCCTAACTACAACATGAATTTTTTTTTAATGTTATTGCTGGTTTGATCTTGATATGATCATCTGATTTTATTATAAGCTCTTTATTGTGCATTACAATAGGGTAGCACACTGTTCAGCTAGAAAAATTACAGTGCCTTAGGAATCAGGCGAGGAAAACACACATTAGATCATGAAATCCCAGCTCTTGCTAGTATTAGATTCTTCTATGTGGTATATTTGTAAAGCCAGGCTCAGTGCTCCTGATTACAGGGTTATGTGACTTCCCTTAAAACCTTTTGATTAAATCTGATGGTCAATACCTTTTTCTAAGTTCAGCTTTAAATCTTAGTTTTTGTGAAGTAATTTCATTACTTCCAGTTATTCTTTGCACTGCTTTGATAATTTCCTCTGCTTCCAGAGCAATTTGTACTTCAGATGTGGGCAATTATCACATCAGTAACATTCCAAGTTTGTTTATTCGATTCTCATTGAAACTGAAGCCTTTTCACATTCTTCTGGGAATGTCAGAGGACCATGAAGTGGGTGAAAACTGTAACTGAATTTATTTTAGGGTAGAAATGTGGTCATAAAGTGCTTTTAAGTGACCTTAAAATAGCAAATGAGGAGGTTTACTTGGTGTCCATGTGGATATTACTTCCAGTGCTGTTTGCTTAATTAAATGTAGCTTCCTCTATTCCTGTTGCTGCTGTTTCTGTTTCAGCATCTTGCAGATCAGCTCTTTGCTTAACTGCTTCACTGGATAACTACACAAGATAGAAAATATTCAGGTGAAAGAAACATTATTTCTACTTTTTAGATGCAGAATTGAGTCACAGAGAGTATGATTGTTCATCTGCAAATAAATTTTTGAGGGAGAAACTCTCAAAAAAATATAAGCTGCAAAATACTGTCTAGCACCTCCATCACAGTATTGTCTTTATTTAGTAATTTTGTCTGCTTTTATCTTACTCATACTCCCTCAAGGAAACTTTAGAGCAGGAACTCTAAACAATACTATCTTAATTGAAAATGTCCTGAACTGAGACCTGGTTGGGTCCGGCATTTCTTGCCTCTGCTGTTTAATTGTTAATTATTCACTGCATTTTTCATTGTCTTTTGCTGTGAAGCATCTCACTTGCTAACCTGTGGTGATACATGAATATTCCTCCCCTTCACTCAATTTTACACATAGAGTAACAGCGTTTAACCAAAATCACTTCTGGTGCAGCCAGAAGTAGAATCCACATTTCCAGTTTTGCTTTTTTATTTATTGATTTTTTTTTTTAAATTTCAGTTAAGAGGAAATAGAACTCTCATAAGAAAACATTCTTTTTTCTTTTTAGTTTTTTTTTTTTCCTAAGAATTTTGTCATTGTCCATTTTCCCTGACTTTAAACCCATGACTTTAAAACTTATGGAACATATCTGAGCATATAGTAAACTGATTTGTATGAGACCCCTGTTACTTCAAGTAGCACAGCAATTGCTTTGCTAATGTTGTTTCCAAGATTGAAAAAAACAGATGAATATTAAAAAATGAGAGTATTGCCTTTAGATTTGCCTGTTTAAAATTGTAATTCCCAAACCTGCTGGGTATTAATGCTTGAGTACAGTCTTCAGGACAGATAGAAAATGAGCCAGCATTGCAAAAAGACAAATTCTGTGGTTGTGAAAATACAGGTGAAAAGTGTATAAGAAAGAATTTTGTGTCCAGTTTCTTCACAGTTGACTTTGTCATGCTTGACCAGGTATTTATTTTAGGCTCATGTTTTAGGAGAGATGCATTACAGTTAAGTAGGTAGCTTTGGTTTTGTCATTACGTAGGTTGTATTTTTTGATATTTCAGGTTGAGTGTTCTTTTAGAACATTTTATTAATTAAAAAAATTAATAAGTGAAAGAATGAGTGTTTTGGCATAAAACCTTCTCTTCCAAGCCCCAAACCATAAGAGAGATATTGGTCAAAACACACGTATTTCTAGCAGCTTAATTTGATAGCTCAAAATAATTACCATAATTTATTAAATTAATTCTAATTAGGGTAGTAATCAGTTTTATGGGCATATCACAGATCAGTCCCACCTACAGTCTTTGAAGGAAAATTCCTTTGAATTTATGCACCATCATTTTTGTGATAGTTTTCCCACCTGAGAACAAAACTTGATGTGACAGATTGAGTTAAAGAGGCATGAAAGCTGAAAAGAAATTTAAAAGTTCTACATCAACATTTTTTTAATAATCTGTAAAGGAAGCATATAGGAAAGGGTGTCCTCTCAGTGTATCTGTAAAATAAGTACCTTCTGCATATCAGATTGAACCTAATACTTGAGGGGGATGAGAAATTTATGTAATCAATAAATTTTAAAATAAAAATGAAGTAATGATCTTCATTCCAGGCAGATAGTGTTTATAGTCAAATACACAAATAAATACTTAAAGAAATTAAATACTTTACTTACAGTTTTCCTTTCAGATATGTAACACCTAGGAAGATAATAGCACCTTTCTGCTGGAAAATTTGGCTTTCTTACTTGCGTTCTCTGGCACTGCTCTTTCTCTGACATCCATAACTCTCTGATACTGTTCAAGACTAGTTAAGCAAATTCCCTGCATTTTCATATGGATATGCTGGTTTAATGACTGTAAAACATTTCTTCCTTTAGGTGCATAATTAAACAAATTGTTTTAATTGTATGAGTAGTTGTATCAGTAATAAATAAACCCAGAAAACTCACAAAGGAATATAACAAATTCTCTTTTATGACGTCATAAACTAATCTTATTAATTCAAGTTACAGGTATTATGAATTTTACAACCTTTATTTTTTTTAAATCTCTCTCTGAATAGTCATAGTACAAAATGACTATTACTTGTTTCATATTTGTTCAGCAGTCCTCTTGCAATTCAAGAAATAAGCTCTATGCTATTGTGTTTAGTCTGTCGTCGCAAATCATTTAATCAACCTATTCTGGTATGAATATAACTGTCATACTCCTTGATGTATGAAAGTTACATTCATTTCAACATTTCAAATTCTGAAAATGCATTAGCTACATTAATATATTTGCAATATTTCTTTGTCTTTTCAGTTGAATGTTCTTAAGAACAGGATCTATCTTTGGCAGCCCTATAGAGAGTTAATTTATTGGTAGCCTTCAACTACATTATGCTCACTGAGTGTGCATTAATTTTAGCTTCACTTAGTGTATGAATTCTTAAGTTGGTTGTTAGTGACATTTAGAGTCACATTTTGCTTCATTTTTTCATTCAAATCCTATTTATTGAACCTTGTGTGGCAATCTGGTAATCTTTCTGCTAGTTTGTTCTTTGAAGCACTAGTGTTTACTTCGCTGTGGATCCTCATTGCAGCATTGATCCTTCCTTGGCACTATTCTCACTCTGCAAAGACATGACAGAAGCAAGACCTTTCATTCAGGTCCCAGACAAAGCCTTCAAACAAGCCAGATGTCATGAAAGCGAACTGCTTATTGGCCAACTCCACTTTCATTCATTCTCCACTCTCATTACAGTTCAGCAGCAGCTCTTCTACTCTAACCTGAGTCTCTGCCTGTGGAATACTTAATTTCTGCTCCCTTTCTGTGTATTTTCAGAGCTTGCAAACCCATGAAAGCTCAAAATTATTTCTGTTGATTATTAATTTTTCTCATTTTTATTCATATTATGAGAAAACTGACATAATTTTACTGAAACAAAGTTTTGGTATTTGTTGGGCATAAAAGGTGCTACAGAGAGTATGAAATATGTTTTCATAATAGTGTATATGTTCCTACTCCTACCACTGGTGTTACAGTGATTCAGGTTGCATAGGGCCATTACAATCATTTAAACAGGATCATCCATGAGCAGAAGAATTTATGACATCTGATTTCCTTTGAATTCTTGTCCTTGTTCATCTTCCGGTGATCATCTTAGCTCTGTGTAAAATCCCTCTGACACCCGCATGCCCTGTGCCGTGTCTCTTGATGGCTTACTAAGCAGAGTACCTAATGGATGTGTTCTTGCCTCACCCTCAGATCCAGCTCTTCTCCTCTTTTCAGATGATGATCTTTATGTACTTTCATAGGAGTTTAATTATCCTTGAGATTCTGTCCTTCTTGCTAAATTAGAAGTCAGTAGGGCAAATTGAGGGGTGACCTGGGGGAATGGGAAAGGCAGTCAACCCTCAAGTAGGCTTCCTTTGCATATACATTGGTGGCCTATGCCGTTTCAGATACCTCTGCTTCTGGTTGCTGCTTGGGAAGGCTGCAATTCTCCTCTAATTCCTCTGTGAAGTTTTCTAGGCCTGTGTGGGTATCTCAGATACCCTAGGATGTTCTCTAAGTGGCATCAACTACCTGCTTTTAGGCGTCTGAGTCCTACTCACAGAAAGATGGCATTATTATATAAAACTGCTTTCCTTAGAAGACCTTCTGAGAGGAGCATCACTAGTATTGTAAATCTTAGTGGGCAGACATTGTGGAGAAAGAAGTGCTAAAATTTAGGTCTGAGGTGGGGAATGTTTTCCCAATTTTTCAATTTTCATACTATGCATAGTGATGTTTCCAGGTAATGGATCAGGTTATTCAAGTTAGAAGCCTTTTTCTGTCCAGTGCATATGTTATTCCCTTAAACCTAGGTGAGCATCTACTTCAGATAACTAAAGTTCACATTGTGAATACTGTCCTCAATGCTTCTTTTCCCCACTTCTTCTTTTCTAATGTTTTACTTCATTAACTTATGCATCCTGTAAAGGCTGAATTAATTAGTACATGAAAAAAACAGTTGAGTTTCAGTGGGCGGTGTATACTGCTGTTTTTATTAAAACTTTTGGAGAATGTGTTCCTTATAAATGAAATATATGCAAACATGGGTTCCTAAAGGTCATGCATTTGAACTTTTCTTTGCAGTGGTTTGGTGACCTTGTGACTCCAGTTTGGTGGGAGGATGTGTGGTTGAAAGAAGGTTTTGCTCACTATTTTGAATTTGTTGGGACAGACTACCTCTACCCAGGGTGGAACATGGTAAGTCAGTTCTATTTTGTTAATGTGAAAACTCCACAGAAAAGTTGCTTTGCTATTATACTCCTGCTTCTGTTATAGAAAAGGACTGCTGAAAAATACCAAATGATGCATGCAAGTATCAGATGTTGAATGAAACAAAATCACTAGGTGTGAAATAATTTGACAGCATTCCAAAAGTGTTCAATTTATTGCAAAGGAAATAATGTCATGTCTGTCGTAACCCAGCATTAAAATAGCTACTGTCTCTCTGCTCAGAAATATTTTGGATTAAAGCAGTTATGATTTAACTTGGACCATTTTTTAAAACATTGATATGGTTGAATTTTATCTACAAGATAAATTGGAAAGAAATGTTTCACAAAACATTTTATAAAATGGAGCATATTTTTTCTGACAGTATTCTGTTCTCTCCCTAAGTTTATTCTTTTTATCTTCCTGCTACTGTTTGTCTATCTAGCGGCATAAATTAACATGGAGTATATGAGCTGAGAATCTAGCTTTCAGTATGATTTCTGGCTGTATGTGGTTGAACATGCTTTGTCAACTGGTGTGCAAATAAAGGAGCTCTCTGAGGGCAGACTGGAAATTCTGTGCTGGTACATTATTTTGAAGTCCTTCTGTTGAATCACATTGTACCTAGTAAGGTCTAGTTTATATGAATTGCTGTAATCTGGCTATATTATATTTATAAGAAAAACAGGAAATATGAGACCTCAGTACAAGGAAATTTTGTATGAACCCTATTGAAGGTTTCTATAGAGATTTTGTTGTCCATTGGAGACATGTTTTTATTTGCTAACCTTTTATATTTACGGATATTTAATTAAGTGGCAAAATATTTATTATAAATCCCGATTGTCTGATGGAGATTTGTTGGAGCTTGGATGTTTTGCTTAGACTCTTGCAAACTAACTTCTGAAATTTTCTTTTTCTGATTTCTGAGTAATTTATTGAGTATTCTTATGCCATTAATTTTTGTATGCCATGAAATGAAGATGCTATAATTGTGAGTTAAAGCTAATTTTTGAAAATAATTGTATACAGATACTCTTGCTTTATGTCTGCTTCTTGTGAAGTTTGAATTTTTTGTAGTATGTTAATTTTTTCTTTAAGGTGTCAATTTTGGTCTATAATTGCATTATGAAGAGGGAAACGAATCTTTATCTGTACTGACATCTGTCTTGCATACGTAGGCTTGTTGGATTTACGTGGCTTTGGCTATATTAAAACTCATTCTGTTCATCTTTATGAAGAAGACAACCTGAATTACAATGTAATGATTCTAATTATAACTGCAATGAAATCTGGCAAGCCTTTATGATTCTAGCATAGTGAAGTGTCATAGATGACAACATTTATACACTGAATTTTATCTTCAAATCGTCAGTCAATTGTTCTTCACATTATCAGTCTAGCAAATTCAGAATAACTTTGCTTTAGAAAATATTTGGAATATAGTATATTTGCTTGAAATTTTTGTGGAATTAATGTAATCTTCACTGTTATGCAAATGACATGCCCATCACATGAAATCTTGGCATTTTAGCAGAATACAGGCAAAGTGAATGGCTTGAACAAGGTATGGCAGTTAAACTGGGAAATCAGAAATGTGCTGCATAAATTAGAATTAACTACAGAAATACTGCTGTGCCTGAAAAAATATTAATCTGTCAAGCTTTTCCTTAAATTAAAAAGAAGGTAGACATAAACTGTTCATGAGGCTTTGAGTAGCTGTGGCCTTTGATAGAAAAATGACCATACACATATTTAAATAATTAGAAAATGAGAAGATTCTCTTAATGAGTTAAACATTTAAACATGCCGCATTCTTTTGCAGACTAGAGAAGGAGTCAATACTGTTGTGTTTCAGCCTCATTACAGAGATTGTTGAAAGAGGAAGCAAAAGTTACAGTTACTGAAATTAGGCTTGCTGGTGTTTGTTATTGGTATAAAATGCATTTGCTGTTTAGATCACACTGACTGACATTTATAAACTTGAAAAAAATTAAAGTGAGCATGTAGAAAAGAAAGAAAAAGGATGCGGTACAAGCTTCATGAATCAGTTGCAAAAACAAGAACTACAAGATTGATTTTCTGTAATGATGGCTAAACAGTGCAATATTCCAGCATTCCAGGTAGTGTTTTCTCAGCAGTATGTCGTACCCGTGAAATAAAAATAAAAGAAAACATTATGGTGTATGTTACCACAGGTTTTTGCATCAGGAAAATGGTGATATTCCAAAATCCTCTTTATTTCTAAAGAATTGGGAAAGTTACATAGTTAACTTCTTTCTCTTTTAGTTCTGAAATGTTAACCTTGAAAGTTTTCTCAAGAAGCCCATGGACTAAAATGTCGAATTCAGCTTCTTTTCAGTTTACTAAAGGCTTCTTTTCACATTTTCTTTTGAATAAGTGTAGAGCAGAAGACTGGTAGTCCATTGCAGAAAAAGGACTTCTGTTTGGAAATGCAACTTGGGCAGTATGGATACATCTGAAAAAAATTAATCTATCCACAGCTTCCTACCTAAGTTGTTCAATATTTATAGGCTACAGACACATAAACTTCCATCATTAAGGCTCATAAGCCTCTAAAGTTTTGCTACTACTTGTCTGAAGATGCTTCTCTTTTAGCACAGCTGAGTGTTTTTCAGTGTCCATCTTATTTGACATTCGTAGTCTTGGTATGGCTGAAGCTGAGAGTCTGGAGGAGAGTTATCTGTAAGGCGTGTTCACACCATTATAACACACCATTTTAACCTAAACCAACAGCACTGAGTTCTGCACAAAGCAGAGACCCATGGTTTTTTTCCTGAAACGCGTTTCGTGGCTTCTCCTTCTTCTCTAGGTTCTTTAGCTTGCTTAAATTTTTCTTTTCCTACTGAGGTTCTTCCTTTATATCTGTTTTTCTTCAGTTGTTTTATAGACTCTTTTGCAGCAGGAGAGACTAATGAGTAACAGTGACTGAACCTGCCATGGAGCTGTAACACTTTACTGAGCATTCCAGCAGGTCTAAAATTTCTTATTTTGTCCAGAAGGCATTTACATACTTCATCAGGCTTGCATTATCTTAATGAGAAAGGAAATCCAGTCCTTATTAAACACTTGCCATCATTATGTACTGGATCCTCCTATTAAAATTTTGGGTGAATGAAGAGTCATTCTGATGGAGGTGTCTATTATCCACTGCAGTAAATGCAAGAAACATCAGAACTCTTCCAAGGAAGTGAATGAAGTTTTGCAGGTTTTAAAAGAGAAAGATGAGTTTTCTGTGCTGAGAAGCTTTGTGACCACTGGTCTCAATATCCTTTTTCAAATTTAAGTTACTTCAAATGAAAGCTAAAAATTCTCATTTCCTTCCTTCAGCTGAAAAATAAGTCTCTACATGTAACTTTTTACCAGATGAAGCTATGTTTGATTTTGCAGGAAATCTGTCTCTGCTATACAGTTAGACATTTTCCATGGAAAGGATTTCACCATTCTTCCCATTTCATCCTCTTGCCTTGTCTGAACCTCAAATTAAGAGTTTTTTAAAATTCTTATTCCAAAATGCCTCAAATTCTTAGTCTTAGATCTCATTCTTTAAGTCTTGGAAGTTTAATCAATTGTTTCTGTGTTGTCAGGATAGTTTTAGAAAGAAAGCTGTCTCTGCTAAGTGTTCCTCCCAGAGATCAGAGAATTTCACTTCATCATGTGTGCTCAGAGTAGTCATCTCCATGTGAATTCCCTAGCTGTTGCTACTTCATAACTTAGAAAGAGATGAGATTTCTGTATTAAAGTCTTAAGATGTAACTGTTTAGTTGTCTCTCTTTGCCATCAAAAAGCAACCACAGCTGGACGTAAGTTCTTGAGCTGTAAGAATTTATGACCGATTCAAGGTAATCTCACCTCTGTGGAAGGGGCCTCTGCTAGTTTTAGGATCAGAGAAAAGAAAAAATTGCAGCAGAAAGCTGCATTCTGGTAATTTCTACTTCATAGCTCTATCTATCTACCCTGATCACCTTCCTTTCAGAGGCCTGTTTCCAGCTGTATATTCCATCTTCCTCTTGGACTGTTTCTCTCGTTATCTTGAAATCTTTTGCATGTGGCTTTGTAAAGGAAGGAATTCAGCTGAGGCTTGCAGATACAGGAATTTATTGACTGGTCTTTTGCCTTCTTATTTTCTGGTAGAAGGAACCATCATGTTTGTCCTTGAATGTCTGTGGCATTGGGGTAGGTTTTGAGTACTGTGACAGCAGGAATTACTGGCATGTAATTTGCCCTTACATCCATCAAACGAGCATCAAATACTTTAGCAGTCAGTACCTGGCTTGATGCTGAGAAAGCATTTCACAGACCCCAGCTGCCTTCTCCCTTTTCTTTATTATATAGAAGTTTGCTTTGCTGACAACCTTATTGACAGAGTCAAGGTGTAGTACATCAGCAAAACTTTGAATCCTACGTCTTCTTGATCCATTGATGCTCTGGGATCTCCCACTTTCTTGTCTGCTTACTACTTTTATAGGTAAGGATGGTCATATTTGTCAGAATTTTTCTTAGTATTAAATTAAAAACTTTGTGTCTACATAGAAGGACATCTTTCCTATTTCTTAAAGTGAATCATGTTTCCTTTACATTATTAGGTTCCACAGTATGGACAATCCTGCCATTACTACAGGCAGTTGAAAATAATAATGAGGTTGCATAATAACATTTCTGTTTCAAAATAAGTAAAAAATTGATAAATTATCTTAATTGCCTATCTTTCTCATTGACTTAGTTGAAAATAATAAAAGCGAATGCAGCCATTAGACACATGTATATCTTTAATGTACTTTAACTCACATTGCCTCCTAAAGTGTTTGCCTCCATCTGTAAAGATTTCTAAGGCATTGTTTGACTCATAGAAACCCCAGAAAATAATATAAGTTTTGAGGTAGACTTAAGACATGGGCCTTTTTCATTTATTTCATTATTATTTTGGCATTTCACACCTGAGCTGTAGCCTGCTTGATCCTTCTGAA